AAATTAATAAAATATAAAAAAAAAGAAAAAAATAATCTCAGTCTTTTCACCATTTATCATGATTCTGCCAATTGGCCCATTGGTGAGAATCTTCATTTTCTTGATATTGAGCTCCAATCCATATTAAAGGCTGCAGTCCTTGACCTTCTGCAGCAAGCGCTTCAGGTCCTCCTCAGTTTCAGCAAGTAAGACTGTGTAACATGCCCAATGCAGATGAGTCTTCCTCTAGTCCTGATGCCACATTTCTCCTCATGGAGCCCAGCCACCCGGATCATCAATCGGTTTATAGATTGAAAAGATATGGAGACAGGACACATCCCTGGTGTACACCCTTCCCAATTCTGAACCTTGCTGTATTTTCTGGCTCTGTTCTGACGACTGCCTTCTAGTCCAAGTACAAGTTTTGCATAAGCACAACCAAGTGTTCCAGAATTCTCATTCTTAAGAGTTAGCCACAGCTTGTGCTCCATACAGTCAAATACCTTTCCATAGTCAATGAAACACTGGTAGACATTCCTCTGGTACTCCATGTTTTATATTTCTTTGATTATTAGTAAAGATAAATTATTACACTTTGTGCTCTCTCGCGCTCTCTTCTTCTGTGTGTGTGTGTGTGTGTGTGTGTGTATGAATGGATTATTAGGTGCCTTTTGAGCAGACTTCAACTTATAGTAACCCTATGAACAATGGATTCTGAGCGTTGTCCAAACTTGCACCATCATTAAGTTCTCTGCTTTGCTCAAACCTATTGTTACCGGCACTGTGTCACTCATCTTGAGGATCTTTCTTTTTTTATTTGTTTGTTAAACATCTACCTTTCCCAGAATGTCTTTTTCTAAATCCTGGCCCCTCCTCACTACATGCTCAAGTATGTGAGACAAAGTTTCACTATCCTTGCCTCTAAGGAGCATTGTGGTTGTACATTCTCCATGATAGATTTTCCTAGTTGTGCTTTCTCCAAGACTTTTGACAGTCCATAGGATATTCAATACTCTGCCAGTACCATAATTCAAAGGCATTGATTCTTTGGTCATCTTTATTCGTTGTCCAACTTTCAAATGTATTTAAGAAAATTGAAAATGTTATAACTTTTAGGTATGTGTGTGTGTGATATTTTTTCCTTGGGAGAGGGACCAATTTTTATGAAAAACTCTTAACTGACAGCTAGGCCCAGAGCAGTAGGCAAGTGAAAGGACAGAGTCAGCAACCAGGAACTATAACTATCTTTGATCATATCTGCTAAATTATAGTGTATGTTGTCATTTTTCTCCCACGGCTCTGCTGACTTTTCTGTTAGCATTGCACCACATTCTTTGCCCACTTTGCCGCTAGTATTAACTCACTGCCATGGACTCTAGTCCTACTCAGTGTGAACTTCTTAACCCACTACTATTGAGTCTGATTTGAGTTATAAACTATTAGATTTCTGAGACTGTAAATTTTATGGGAGGAGACTGCCATCTTTCTTCCTCAGTCACTGGTAGGACTTGAACAGCCAGATGTTGGATTAACAGCCCAACACACAACTTACTGTATCACTTCTTCTTCTTGTATACTATGGAGTCAAGACCAACTTACAGTTAATCATCTAGCAGATTTTTGCAATTGTAAATCAGATATCCCATCTTTCTCCCACAGAGCAACTGGTGGATTTGAACTGTATGCTGGCAGGTTGGCAGCACAGCTTCCTATCACTATGCCACCAGAACTCTTATCACTAGGGCTTCTTTTATATAATGTAATGCATCCTTTAAATACTGGTAAACACTGTTGACTACAAGCAGGGTTATAGTATGAGCACTAAAAAAAAGAATGAAAAAAATAAAATACTTGGCATTAATTCTTTTTTTTAATGTGGTTAACTAAATGCTAATTATTTGATTTGAATGTAGGCAAGAACGGAGCCTATTGTGGAAATTGTTTTAGTTGTGTAAGTGAAAAATGAGGAAATGTCCTGGGGGCTTTGAGAGGGATAAGAGGTACTGTACTTATTACTATGTTTATGGACTCACAGAAAATAAGTGGGAACATTTTTTATTTAATGTATCTTATTTTATTTCGTAATGATGTACATTTTGCATTTCAGATGAATTTACAACTGATATTCTGGATTGGACTGATCAGCTCAGTTTGCTATGTGTTTGGTCAAACAGGTAAAAAAAAAATCCTGTCTTTTTGTCTCAGTACTTTTCCCCACTCTTTGACAAGCTATATTCCAGGGATGACTCAAGGCAGATCATGCCTGTTCCTGAAAGCCCAGCACTGCCTCCTGTCCTCCTCACTAAAAGACAATATTTTTAAGATGACTTTCAGGCTCCCCTTCACCCCTGCCACCCAAGGCATTTGAAATAATACCATTTCAGTATTGATAAATAGTATCATATTGAAATGATACTATTTTAATTGTATTTTTAATGTGTGATTACTAGAAAAAACTGTATAAATAGTGGCTCATCTTCATGATTGAAATTATATTTTTATTAGACAACTTCTATAAAACACTAGGCCTTTTGTTTTAGACTCAGATTTTTGTCTTCTTACCCTCTCCCATCATGCTTTTGTTAAGAGACAATGGGGACGAGTTGCCTTATACAGTAACCATGACCTTGACTAAAATATTTGTCTCTCAGGGGTCTGTACGAGCCTGTCCTCTTGACTCTTGTGTTAACTTCTCAATGAGGCCTGCTTTATCATATTTATAATTGTATGCTCCCTTCTCTATTTCCCTTCCCTGCTTTATTATTTTTATTTCTTTTATTTTTTCTACTTAGCCTTTATCTCTTTTTAACACCTTCTGTATCTTTTTATTATAACCTGAGTAAAGGAAATTGAAAAAATCCATAGACTGAAAGTACACAGATTAAGTTCAACCATTCATTCATATTTTGTTTTATACATTAATTACAGTACTTATAATATAATCACACTTTCTCTACTTTCTCTCTGTAATTTCACTAATTCTTCTGTCTTACCCCTTCCTGCATCAGGGCTTTGTCCTTGGGCAAATGCTTCTCTTGGGTCCCTACATGGTTGGTTCTTCTGAAAAGTGAGTGCCTCCTGGTGTTTTGTCCACTGTATAGTCCTGTCAATTGTTTGACTGAAAATTGAGCCATGGGAGTGAGCTTTGTTTAAAATTAAAAGGATGATTATGGGCCATAGTGTTGGAGGTTTCAGTAGTCTCTGATGAGCAGGAAGACTGGCCTTGTTTACATTTTTTTTTTTTAAATTTTATTTTACTATTTTTGTGTGCGTGTACCGTCAAATCAGATCTGACTGGTACAGGAGGAGATTGTCCCTCCTTCCCCGGCAGAGCATCTGGTGGATTCGAACCGTTCGCCTCTGGGATTGTAGTTACAGCTCCTTGCCACTAGGCCACCAGAGCTCCCCATGGCCTTGTTTACATTTTTTAAATTTTGTTAACATTTTCCCTCACTCTATCTAGTGTCTCTACTATGATCCCTTTTAGAGTTGTTAGCAATGGTAGCTAAACACTGTTTCTGATCTCAAGGTTGTGGAGTGAAGCGTTATGTGGCCCATTATTCCTTTGGACTAATTGTTTCAATGTTGTTGTGTAATGATGCCAAATCTGCATTAACTCGTTGCTGACACTCTAGTGGGTTTTCAGAGGCAGTACATCGAACATGCAGAGAGTGCCCACCTTTCATCCATGTTGCAGCTGGTGGTTTTGAACTATATTAGGTTGGTAACACAACTCCTTATCCGTAAGCCACTAGAGCTCACTATTGTTTTAGTACATCTTTGCTTTTTGCAAAGTACCCTTTTTTTTTTTTTTTTTTTTCTGTATCCATCTTCTTTATTTGTCTCTAATCACCAGTGATAGAAGACCAGAGGAGCTGTGGGATGGAATCAAGGATATCATCCTTGAAGAGAACAAAAAGGTCATTACAGAGACAGAGGAGAAAGAAAACCCCCCAAAATGTTTGTTAGAACAAACTGCTAAATTGTGTTAGAGTGTAAAGAAGCTAAAACAAAGAGAAAAGATGCTGAAGTTAAAAGAATAGATGTCAAAGAGCATCTTGAGAAGACAAAACAAAGTATAACAAAATGTTCAAGGAGCTGGAGTCAGAGAACAAGAAGGGACAAATTTGCTCAGCATTTTTCAAGCTGAAAGACCTGTAAGCCAAATTCAATCCTCAGGTTGCATTACTGAGAGGTACCATGGGTAAAATCTGGAATGATCCAGGAAGTATCAACACATGATGGAAGGAATACACAGAGTCACTGTACTAAAAAAAGATTTGGTTGACAGTGAAAAATCTTAGGAAGTACCATATGAACAAAAGCCAATGATAATGATGAAGTTCAAGTTGTGTTGAAGACATTGGCAAAAAAATAAGGTCTCAGAAACAGATGGGATACCAGTTGACATTTTTCAAGTAACAGATACAACCCTGAACATACTTATCAGTCTGTGTCAGGATATTTGGAAGACAGTTGCCTTACAGACAAACAGCTGGAACAGTATATTGCCAGAAAACTACCAGAAGTTCTAGCTGAGTTTAGGAAAGGCCATGCCACCACCAGAGATATCATTACTGGTGTCAGATGGATTCTGGCTGAAAGTAAAGACTATCAAAAGACTATCTATCTGTGTTTTATTGACTATGCCGAAGCATTTGACTGTGGATCATAACAAACTATGATTAACATTGAGAAGAAAGGAAATCCCAGAACACTTAATTGTATTCATATTAAATCTGTACCTAGACCAAGAAGTTGCTTTCTGAATGGAACAAGGAAACACTGCATGGTTTAAAATCAGAAAGGGTATATGTCATGGTTGCAGTAGGCTTAGAGGAAGATTGATTGACACCTGCATTATGCAGATGACACGATGCCGACATGCAGATGATACAACCTTGCTTGCTGAAAGTGAGAACTTGAAACACTTTTTGCAGAAGATAAAGGATTACAGCCTTTGCTATGAATTACATCTCAACATCAAGAAAAGTTTCTTTCTACTAGGCCAGTAGTAAGTTTACTTGGTAGAGAAAGGATTGTGGTGGTGGTGGTGAACTGTAGCGTCAACATCAACCCATAGCTGGCTCTCTGGCGGGTTGTCAGCGGAGATTGCCCATCCTTCTCCTGCGTAGCTGATGGATTTTGAACCACGTCCGTTCAGGATTGCAGCACAGATTCTTGGAATTGTCAATGATTTCATCTTAGTTGGATTTATGATCAATATCCTTGACTCTCTGAAGTAAATGCGTCAGACTCTCCTCAGTTTCAGTAAGGTTGTGTCATCTGTGTAATGCAAGTTGTTGATGAGTCTTCCTCCAAGATTAATGCCAGATTCTTCCTCATAAAGTCCAGCCTTTTGTATGATCTGCTTTGCATACAGATTGAAAAAGTATGGAGAGAAGATACATCCCTGATGTACTTCTTTTTTTATTTTGAACCATGCAGTGTTTTCTTGCTTTGTTCTGAAGACTGCCTCTTGGTCCAAGTATAGCTTTTACGTGAGCACTCTCAGGTGTTCTGGGATTCCCATTCTTCTCAAGGTTAGCTACAGTTTGTTGTGATCCACATAGTCAAATGCCTTTGCATGGTCAGTAAAATACAGATAGACATTCCTCTAGTAGTCTACTTTTGGCCAAGATCCATCTGACATTGGCAGTGATGTCCCTAGTGCTATAACCTCTTCTAAACCCAGCCTGTATTTCTGGTAGTTCTCTCTGGTTGTTCCAGAAGCTTTTGGATAATCTTTGGCAGAATTTTACTTGTGTGTAATATTTTTCTATAATTTCCATACTCTGTTGGAACCCCTTTTTTGGAATGGGAATAAATATGGATCACTTCCAGTCAGTTGGCCAGGTAGTTGTCCTCCAGATTTCTTGGTATAGCCAAGTGAGCACTTCAGGGCTGCATCTGTTTGTTGACATAGTCATTTAGTATGCTGTCAATTCCTGAGGCCTTGTTTTTTTCCAGTTCCCTTAGAGCAGCTTGAACTTCCTCCTTCATCATCATTGCCTCTTGAACATAAGTTGTTTCATGAAATACTTCTATGTCGGCCAGTACTTTTTGATACAGTTACTCTGTATTCCCTACATCTTCCTTTGATGCTTCCTAGTATTCTGCCCATAGCATCCTTAAGTATTACAACTCGGGGCTTGAATTTGTTCTTCAGACTTTCAGCTTAAGAAATGCTGAGCAAGTTCAACCTTTTTGATTTTCCAGCTCTCCCTCTTTGCACATTTCATTATAGTACTTTGCTTTGTCTCCCCAAGCTGCCCTTTGAAATCTTTGGTTCAGCTCCTTAACTTCTTGATTTCTTCCCTTATCTTTGGCTTCTTGGTGCTCTTGTGCAAAATTCAGTCTCTTCTCACATCAAACTCCCTCTTCCACCTTTGTCTTTGTAATGATCTTTGGAAAGGTGCTGAGTTAGCAAAAGGAAGGAACATACATAAACACACACACAGTGCAGTGAGTTCGAGTGTTTAGGTTTAAAGTCTTCATACTTAATATTCATGTATATCGCATTGCTTGTCATTGTGATGCTGATTTTTTATTTTCCCTCTTAATATGCAAAAGTAACAGTCTTTTATTTCTTTTCCTGACAGATGAAAATAGATGTTTAAAAGCAAATGCAAAATCATGTGGAGAATGTATACAAGCAGGGCCAAATTGTGGCTGGTGCACAAACTCAGTGAGTAAGATTAAATTAATAATAATTCCAATGCTTTATCCTTGGAAAGTACCAGATAAGAATTTTCACTTGAGAACTTGAAACAGTGTTAAATGATTAACTGTTAACTGTGTAAAATGTAAAGCCTAGTAGTGTAGTGGTTAAACACTCAGGTGCTGACCAAAAGATGTCCACTCTGTGGGAGAAAAATGAATGTGACAGTCTGCTTTGTATAGATTACAGTCATAAAACCCTATTGATGATTCTAGTTTTCCCTTTCTGGATCCCTATGAGTTGAAATCAGTGGCAAAAACAGTGTTTTTGGTTTCTTCTTTTAGTGTGTAAACACTGATGCTCTAAAGCTGTTCAACATGGTAGCTCTCTAGTCAGTCATGTGTACATGTGGCTGGTTGAAATGTAGATGGTCCAAATTGAGAATTGCTATAAATCTCAAATGCATATCAAAATTTGAAAATTAAATACTATTATAAAACTCAGTACAGTTACAAAAATTGTTTCCATGTTAAAATTATGTTTTAGCTAAATTTTTAATATGTGACTGGCTGTTAGAAAAATTTAAACTGTTTATGTAGCTTATATTCATAGTTGAAATGATATTTTTACTGGACAACTTCTGTAAAACACCAGGCCTTTAGTTTTAGATGGTTTCAGATTTCCCTTTTTTTGAAGAAGAAAGATTAAATCATACGGTCTTGATGTTTTAGAGTTTAATTATTGAATGCTGCTTGAATGTATTGAATGTATTTAACCTACTGCCATTGAGTCAGTTCTGAGTCAGCCTCAGTATTGAGTGTCTGAGTCTTTTGGGGGATAGGAATATGTTTACTGGAATTTTATTTGGTTTTGGATTGTAATTTTAAAGTTTTCTGGATCAGCTTATATTTGGGATTATATGATTCATGAGAATCCACCAATTTGGTGGTATCTTGGGTGACTTTGAACTATCTGGCCTTTGGTTTTCCTTCCCAATTATTTCAATGGTTGGTATATGTATGCTTGTCAGGATGTGTTTTATGCTTCCTTTAAAGATACGACTGAAAGAGTTCATAGTTGTATTTTTAAAGGAAGCACAAAACTACTCTGATAACTGTTTGAAAAAAAATACTGTGTAGCATGATAGAAGTTAGAGGTCATTATGCTGAGTGAACTCAGTCTCATAAGGAAAAATACTGTATAAGACCATTACTGTAGGAATAGAAAGATAATTGGCAGGATGTGTACAGAGGTCTGTCTAAAGGGGGAAGGGAGAGGGACTGTGAGTGGGAGGGGGAAAATATGGGGTTGCAGAGTTAGGTGAGTGGAGGGAACGTGTGTGTGTGTGTGTGTGTGTGAAGGAATTGAAAGATCGAGTGATTGACCAGAAATTATGAGGTAAGAGTGAGCTTAGATTAATGGTGATTAATTGTATAAAACACAATATATATGAATGAAAAAGTGTATATGAATTTTGTATGCAAACCAATATAACTGAAAAAAGAGCATTTTTAAAATTTATCTTTACTTAATATTGTTTTATAATTCCTGTGGAACTGGTAAGTAAGAAACAAAGACCAGTAGAGGAGAAAATAGGCCATAGGGGCACAGGGCTATGAGCATCTTTCTGAAAGGGCCAGAGGGAGTAAGAATAGCTCTGCCCCAGAGCAGAAAGCAGATAAAGAGCCTGTAACCCAGCCCCATGGCAGTCTAGAGCCGCATCAACAGCAAGAGGTTAGTTTATTCATTGCAGACTCATAGACTCACAGTTACGGTACCAACAAAGGGATTTATTAGGGAAATGAGTGGAGGAAGCAAAGAATATTTCACAATGTAGGTACAGGTTTCAGTTCAGCAATCAAATCCGAGTCATTCGGCAGGGTTTGGCTCAGTCAGAGCAGTTATCAGTCAGCTTATCCTTCAAACAACTGGCAAGAACAATCATACCTTTAACTGTGGCCAGCATATATGCAAGAAGCCTCAGGTCCGTTTTCCATGGTGCCACAGTCTTTCCACCACCAGGGTCTTGTTCTCACCAGGGTCTTGCCACTACAACAGGCCTTGCTCACTTTCCTGCGCACTTCCTAAGTAGTGCTCTTTCTTTTCTCCTAGTCCCACAGCTCTTAGTGATTTGCAATTTCATGTGTCTGCAGTTAAGGTAGCTGGAGATGAGAGGTGGCTAATTATAATGGCTAAAAAAAAAAGCGCCAGCTATAGGGCTAACACCAAACCAGTATGTTGTTGTTATGTGCCATCGAGTCTCTTGTGACTCATAGCGACCCCTATGTACAACAGCCCTAAACTCTGCTCTGTCCTGTGCCAGTCGCACTGTTTCTGACACTCCCATCCCGATTATCCCAGTCACTGAATCAATCCCCCTCATAAAGGGCCTTCCCTTTCTGCACTGTCCCTCCACCGGTATACCAGAAAAAAAATAATATTTTCTATTTTTAAATTTATCTTTACTTCCTACTGTTTAATAAAGCACTGTGAAAGTGATAGGTAAGAAACAAATACTAAATATGACTGAACATAAAGTGATTCCAAATAATGGCAACCCTTCATTTTCTTTATGCCTGATAGAAAAAAATAAAATCTACAAATTAAACATATAATTTATAAGGATATCTGTGACAGATGCCTACTTAAAATAATTCATTGACAGTAGTTTGTGTGATTTGTGTGGTGTGGTTTTTGGTTGTTTTATTTTTTTTTCAGTTGGCAAATTTTTGTTTGCGTTTTTTTCATATTCTACCTTTTCGTTTAAAAAGTGAGAAAAGGGGAAAAGCACCTAAGTCAGGTTAGGAAATAGCCTCTTGCAGAAATGGAGGAAGATTTCAGAGAGGAACTCTTGAGGTGTTAACAGGCCCTGATTCCTGGTCATGCACATGCAGTATTGATGCCATTTTCCCCCCATGCTCAAATCTCACAGAACATTCTCTTTAAATTTTTTTAAAATTTTATTTTATTAATTTTAATGAACATTTACAGAGATTTTGGATTTCCATTCATTCGTTGTTGCACTTTTCTCCCTGCCGGCCCCTTCCCCCCAGTTTGCTCCACTCTTTGAAAAGTAAAATTCTTTCATTGGTATACTATCCCCCCACCGCCCCGAATAGACTCCACTATACAACCTTAATTCTGGACTCGTGTGATAACCATAATACCCTATCATATATTGCTTTTAAACTGTTCTCTCCCTTATCTGTCTCAATGCAGTATACATAGTTTATTCAGTTTTTCTCAGTCTTAAACCAACCCTGATGTCATAGCTATGCTTTTGTTTTCATGAAGGCACTTGTGCAGTCATAACATTTTTCTTCCATCTTAGTTATTTGAGGTATCGAGTCCATTTTAAATTTCTGTCATTACTGGAAATTCTATGTTCAAGACATAATTATTCGTTAAAATCTTTTTCTCTTTGAGATGCAAATCAAGACAACCATGAGATATCATCTCAC